CACACACACACACACACACACACACACACACACACACACACACACACTATGTGATACGTCTAAAAATGTGTACCTTTAAATTTTTTAAAAAGAAATCTAGACTAGACACATTCAATATTTCTTACTTCTTTTTTATATAGCATAATTCTTCATTGATACTTTGAGAGTTTTACATCATGCACCTCAGTCCAGCTCACCTCCCAGTCCCTGCACATCTTCCTCTCACCCCTGCAGCATTCCCCCAAAAGGATTCCCCCAGTCAATTCAGAAAGCAAAACAAGCAACAACAACAAAACCACCTTACTGCTTTGTCTCTCTGCCACCTCTTCATTCATCCCAGTGGCACTAGATGCGGGGTGTGTCACGCAGTATCCCCTTTTGTCCAATCAGCCCCACCCACAAAGTATTCATCACAGTGAGTCTGGTTTAAGGCCTCCGGCACACCATCATCACAGACCCTCATCGAAACTCCTCTCTGATAACCTACTTTTGCCCTAAGCCGTGGAGATCCTGTTGTTATGGTTCCTCAGGACCAGTCCCTTCATGAACTCCAGCAGGTCACAGGTGGTGTAGATGTTAGGGTGGGCCAACCCAAGGCCCAGGATGTGGAGTCTTAGTGGTAGCCGAGTTGGTGGGTCTAAACCACTGGGACTGTTCCCCCCCAGGCGAGGGGCAGAGCCAGCTCTCTTAGGCCCATACTGTGGGTGCCAGCTCTCCCACAACCATGGTGAGGGGTGGGTCCATCTCTCCCCAGTGGGGGTGGGGGTGGGGGCAGCTCTCCCATGGGGATCAGGACCTGCTGTCCTGCTGCAGAGTTCAACAAGGGGCAGGGTCGGCTATCCCAGAGCCAGGGAAGGGCGAGGCCGGCTCAGCATGGCCCTAGGATTTCAACACACATGGTTCCTACTCCCTGTATCAACACGGGCCGTGAACATCATCACAGACCCCAGCTGCTGCAGGAACATGGACCCAGACGTGGCCCTCCGCAGCAGCTCGTGCCTCGACTCAGCGTCACCATAGCTCCAATGGCAGCACAGACCACCCAGACTAGTATGACCCTGGTGGCAGCAAGGCTCTCAGACACCAACATGGTCTCAGGTGGCTGACCAGAGCCCAAGCATCTGCACAGTTCTCAGTGGTAACAGGAGCCGTGGACATCAACTCCAACCCTGGCTGTGGCAGGGCTGGCCATGGCACTTTCGGTATCTTTTTTAATCAAGAAATCTGTTGTTAATGGAGTGGTGGTGGAGCACACCTTTAATCTCAGCTCTCAGGAGGCAGAGGCAGGAGGATCTCTGTGAGTTCGAGGCCAGTTGGCTCTACAGAGCGAGTTCCAGGACAGCCAAGAGAATGTTAGTGGGTCCTCAGGAAGAGCAATATATGCTCTTACCCACTTTGCCACCTCTCCAGACTTTATATATACTTATTTATAAACGCCTGAAAAGGACGTCATTTGCTTTTGATTGGTAAATACGCAATAATTTTTATAGTCTCTGCTCAAAGTCTGCAGGTATGTGGCATTACCTAAGGGCCACACTTTCTAAGCTTCTTCTTATGTTGAGCAGATTTGGCCAAGGATGGAGTTTTTTCTTTTGGTTTTTAAACAGTCTTCCATTAAGACTTCCATTGACTCCCCCTGCTGTGTGGATCACCTGCCACAAGGAGCCAGAGAAAAGCAAAATGCTTTGGGGGGAAAAACTGATGAGAGGCAAGAGTGGAGAAATATCCATCTGAGGGAATTGTTCCATCCTTCCCAAATGAAAGCCAGCGCGGAGCCCAGAAAGGTCACGGAGAGTTCTTTCTGCAGGTTGCCAATCCTTCCACTAGGGGGAGGGATTAAAATCCTCGTTCTTCCTTCCTCACCCCAGACAGAACTCTACCCAAGCATAAAGTGGTTACATTCTATTTTTTTAAGCGAATGACTACAATAAAAGTAAAAATAAAATAAAAATAAATAAAAGTAAAAAACAACTTGTTTTCCGTATCCCTTACATGATTAAACATTTTACATACTACAGGTGAAAAGCAAGTTGTCCCAACAATTCACATACATTCATATTCCAGCAACTTGTTATAGATTAACAGAGTGTAGTAAGCAAACAAGGTATTTTTCTCAGCCAATTCTTTTACTGGCAGGCTGCATTTTGTGGCTACAATCACTGTATTATTTATCTCAAAAGGTAATCTTATAAGGAATCTTAAAAGAATCACAAATCTACAGCCGGAGAGATGGCTCAGAGGGTAGAACACCCAACCGCTCCACCCGAGGACCCGAGTTTGATTCCCAGCCCAGCGCAAATAGTTTCATACCATCTGTCAGCGCCCCCCGCCGGCCTGCAGAACGACCCACAATCTTCCACCATC